ATTCTATGTTATTTTTTTCTTTCTCGAGCTCTCTCCGGTCAGCCCCCTGTCGAGGATCAGCATTCTGTCGGCCTCCGACGGCGGATTGAATTTATTCAAAAGTTTTGGGCGTCCCATTTTTCGTCGGGGATTTTATCGACGCTTCTTCCGTCGCTTCTTCCGTCTATCTGCCATCGCTTCGGTACATGCGAGTTTAATAACATCGGGACGGCCGGCGGAGTTGGCGTGCCGAAAAAGCAACGCGACCGAAAAGTTCCAGGAGCCGATATATCAATATTTCGTACGAACATCGCGCGATGTGTTCGGGCTTCATGAATATTTCGGCGTGTCATGCGCTTTTCATTATATCGTACTTCCTAAGCGTGCGATAATATCCATTTTGCAATTGTTATTAACCCATTGAAGCGTAACTCTCTGAAGTTTTTTCATAAAATTGCATCAATGAAAATACTTGAAGAGGACGTTTAGGAGTTTGAAATATCTGAAACGTTTTCAAGTAGGTGAAAAAACAAAAGAAAAAAGTATCCGCATTTATATTAAAAAATCTGTAATATAAAAAAACAAGTTTCATAACCTACTTGATTCTTGGTATATTTTTTAGAATGTCTTGAATGTTTGAAAAAGGAAGCTAAAAATGTTATGGCGAGCAGAACCGAAACAATTAATGTTGCTAGCACGCTTTAATGAGTTATTGATGTCCAAAGGCGCCAGAATGCCAATATTGTTTGGGAAACATTGCTTTTTTATGGGCATCTTTTTAAAAAGTTAAGCCCTGATAATCTTTTTTGATGCCGTGGTGATGTTATTGATTGTATCGCGAATGTATCTATATGAAACTCCGCATCTTCCATTATGAAGAATTCACTATGATGATAAGAAGAGCTTGGCCTTTTTTGATCTCATTTTTCTGCCCTATTCCTCCACAGCCGATTATCATTTGAAAGATAAACTTTGTTACATCAGAAAGAGAAAGCACGCAGTAAGAAAGAATTTAAACTCGTCTGCATCAAATGTCTGTACGGGCATTTTGCCATTTCATAAAAGATATCTTCCAAAAGTACAAGGGAGAGACGCTAGTTTCGAGACATAAAAATTAAATTATTAATTATTGATAAATAAAAATTAGACGTATTACACTTACAGAGAAAGCGCATTAAGCTTGC